GGCAGACAGCGAAGTCAGTATAAATGATATGGTCCTAGTCAGGCGAGATAGGGACCTGAAAGAAGGAGATGGAGTCGCCATATACGTCGACAAACAGCTCAGATGTGTTCACGCGATGGCCCCCCTCCCCTCACTGAGCTCCCTGACTCCATACGGTGACACTTCACCGTTGGGTACTGCAAATATCTAGTGGGCAGCATTTATCGATCACCTTCATGTGGAGCAGACCACAACCAGGTACTGCTAAATACAATCTCAGCAACTCAAGACATGGGTTATGATCAAATTGTCATAGCTGGTGACTTCAATGCCCCATCTCTTAACTTGGTGTCGGGAAAAGCCCATGATAGATTTGAACGAAATCTGCTGCATACCATCAGGAAGGCTAGATTCACTGAAAATGTCAAGATGGATACTAGATGGGGCCCTGATGGGAAGTCTTCTAGACTGGATTATGTGCCCACTAGTGACCAGCTACTAGTTGAAAACGTTCAGATCACGACTCCCATAGGTAGTAGTTACCACGCGGTCACAGTATTCGACATAGTCCTCCGCGAGCGCTTACAGTGGGACAATACACAGCCCTGTGTTATAACAAAGCCAATTACACCAAACTGCGGAGACTTTTGTCTGAGGCAAATTGGCCTAAAATGTGGATAGAGCTAACAGTAGAAGAACACTGGAGAGTGGTAAAGGAGATCATTCACCAGGCGGTCTCAGATACTGTTCCTTTAATGTGGTTTTGTTCTCTGAGCTGGATGGTTAGTTTGCGAAGCTTTCATCACCTTACTGGGTGACATCTTCAGCGCATACTTCAATTTGAAGTGAGCTTTTAGATTTCTCCACGAGTTTATTAAAAAACTGATTACTTCGCTGCCTTTGAATCATTACTCAAATCATCAAACTTGAACGAGGAAACACAGGAAGAGATACGCCGAACAATTGTACCAATGGTCAAACAGAAAAGACAACACACACAACTCAACGCTCAAGAACTAAAGGCCCTCAAAAAGCTGAAAAATAATATGGACATCGTCATTTTACCAGCCGACAAAGGAAGAACAACAGTAGTCATGGTGTTAGGTACTAGTTTCCCCCGTCGCCAAATTGTTATGTACTCGTCGCTAAATTATTGTTATGGACTGGTCGAGAAACTAATAGTCCTGACGCGAGAAGGCGGAAATCAGAAGACCACTAGGTTTGCGATGATACTTCTATTGTCCAAACACAAGGAGACGAAAATAAATGGTCTCACACCAAAGTGGTAAGTAAGTAAAGAAGTAAAGTAGTCACACGAATTGTGAATGCGAATATATATAAATGTTCCAGACAAAGCGTGGGAAAAATCATTAGACAGTCTTAACATGAATGGTTAATTATAATGGAGTGTCGATCCAAATATACATAGCGAATATAGCAGACATGTCAAACAACCATATATGGATATATGTCACCAAGCAACGGACTGTCAACAAACACTCATATTATATATAATATAATATAAGGAGAATATACATTGATAAAGGAGACAAGTTCATACCAGTGAAATGGTCACAGACTAAGCGAGCAAACAGAAAGAGAGACCAACATACACACACACATAAATATATATATGTGGATACATATCACATGGACAGAGAAGAATATACCAATAAAGCTGAAGAACTACTCAAAGATGAAGATGTATATCAACAACTCTCAACAAATCCCATACAAACATTGGATAACCGCATCCAAAAGACCTTAAACAAGCTCACCAAAACTGGACAGATCACAAAACAAGACCAATGGCGAATGAAATCCAATGGACGAGTCCTACCCGGATTCTACGGCAGACCCAAAATACACAAGGCAAATATCCCATTACGACCAATTGTATCACTCCCGGGAACTCCAACATATAATTTATCCAAAGAATTATACCGAAAACTAAAACACCTAACGGAATCTTGCGATCACTTCATCAACTCTGCTATCCAATTCCTAGAGAAAATCAGAGGCATCCAAATAGATGAACAAGAAATAATGGTATCATTCGACGTGACAGCATTATATACATCCATCGGACAAAACCTAGCAAAAGAAACCATGGAGCAATTACTTAGCAACGACGAACAACTGCCACAACAATCAAAAATGCAACACACAAGCTGGATGGAATGCATAAATCTATGCCTAACAACATACTTCCAATTCAACGGCCAAATATATGAACAAGTCAAAGGAACACCCATGGGATCGCCAATATCAGGTTTGATTGCAGAAGCAGTGATGCAAAGACTCGAAAATATAATTCTACCAAAGATCAAACCCAAGATTTGGATACGCTACGTCGACGACACATTTGTAATCATCAAAAGAAACGAATTAGATAAAACTCACAACTTAATAAACAACGTCTTCAACGACATCAAATTCACAAGAGAAGAGGAATCCGAGAACAAAATACCATTTTTGGACGTCTTAGTCAGGCGAACAACTACAGGAGAATTAGAAACTCAAGTTTATAGGAAATCAACTCACACAGACCAAATACTGAATTACAACAGCAACAACCCAATAACGCACAAAAGGAATTGCATACAAACACTATTCAAGAGAGCAAGGACTCACTGCAGCACTCCCACCTTAAGAAAAATTGAAGAAAAGTATCTCATGGACGTCTTCCAAAAGAATGGATATCCACGGAATTTCATCAAGAGACATATACCCCCAAGCCAACCTACCAAAGCCAAAGCCACCAAGGAAACACAAAGAAAATTGCCTTGCCATATATAAAGGATATCTCAGAAATCACTACAAGACTCTTCAAACCTTTAGGAATTGATGTCGTACACAAACCAACAAAGTCGCTGCACTCAATTCTATGTCAACCGAAAGACTCAACAGCGAAAGAAGACAAAACCAACATCATCTACAAAATAAGCTGTAACAACTGCGAAAAACACTACATCGGCCAAAGTGGACGTCCCCTTCGTCTTCGTATCCACGAACATAAGCTAGCCGTCAAAAGACATGATATCCACTCCCTCATTTCACTACACACAGACAACTACGGACATCAATTCGACTGGGACAACGTTCAAATATTAGACAAAGGAAATAACAAGAATGCTAGAGAATTTTTAGAAGCTTGGCATTCCAGTGGATCATCAATCAATAGACACATCGAGATAGACAAAATTTATCAACCAATAAGAAAGAAACTTCACACACAAAGGGTCAAAGTTCAAGTCAAAGAAACAACCGGTTCCAATACAAGTAACCTAGGTGTGAAAACACACACAAACAACCAATCACGTCCAAGGTCACCAGGAGAGATGATTAATAAACTCGTGGAGAAATCTAAAAGCTCACTTCAAATTGAAGTATGCGCTGAAGATGTCACCCAGTAAGGTGATGAAAGCTTCGCAAACTAACCATCCAGCTCAGAGAACAAAACCACATCAAAATCATCCACCTGAGCTACAAATCTTCTCTATCACAACTGTTCCTTTAGTCACACCAAAAGCTAGGAAGCAACGTTCATGGCTAAAAAGGGGGAAACAACGCCTTCTGCAGGCGAAGCAAAAAGCCTGGTTTGCGTGGCGACGATCGAAGAGTCAACCCGAACATGAAGTGTACCTTGAACTCAGGAATCGATGTAACATACGAGTCCGGAGCGATAGAAGGACATTTCAGGGAAACCTCGCCAATAAGCTTCTCGTGAACCCCAAAAGCCTATACAGGTTTATGTCTGAAAGAAAACCGACCAACCAGGGAGCATGCAATCTAGTGGGTTCTGATGGGAAATCTCTTACTAGTCTTGAAATGGCAGAGACATTCAGCCTAGCCTTTCACAGGCAACTAAACAGTAACGAGGATATTACCCCCACAGAACATCAAGATTACATTGCAAAACCAACGCGCGAAAACCTGCCGGGTACATTTCAAATTACCCCGGCTATGGTACTTGCAAAATTGGGAAGGTTGGCTTCGGGAAAGTCTTCAGGTTGTGATGACATCAGACCATCTGTCCTGAAGCAGTGTTCAGAAAGTCTCTGCCAACCCCTAAGTGATCTGTTCCAACACTCCCTTGATGTAGGGAAACTTCCATGTGAATGGAAACGAGCAATCCTATCCCCTATCTTCAAGGGTGGTGACCGGCAGAATGCGACCAGTTACAGACCAGTTGCTCTACTTCCAGTGATATCGAAAATATTGGAAAGTCTCATTGACGACCACATGAGAAAATACTTCGATGGGACTAACCTTCTTCACGAAGCACAGCACGGTTTCAGGAGGGGAAGATCCTGCGTGACGAATCTTCTACTAGCTTGGAACGATTGGACACTATCCTGGGACGAAAAGGTACCAGCCCACGTGATCTTTCTCGACTTTGCGAAAGCATTCGACACAGTTCACCATGGTCTGCTCCTTCACAAAATGAGCAAGGCGGGTGTTTCTGGAGCACTTCTCGCATGGCTGAAAGATTACTTAGGCGAGAGAGAATTCTGCACCAAAGTCAACCGCATCCGATCATCCTGGCACACCTCGGCATCAGGGGTTCCTCAGGGTTCTATCCTAGGGCCGTTGATGTTTTTGATTTTTATCAACGACCTGCCCTCCCAACTAAACTGCTCTGCGCTTCTTTACGCTGACGACGTAAAGATTTGGAGAGCAATAAACTCATCGGAAGACTCAGACAGATTGCAGGCTGACCTGCAAACTCTGGGAAACTGGGCTCTGGCTAACGGAATGCCTTTCAACCTAAAGAAGTGCAAAGTAGTGCAACTTCATTCCGGCAGGTCACAGAGTGTAAATTACACCCTTGGTGGCCAGAACTTGAGTTGTGTTCCATCAGAGCGCGATCTAGGTCTTATTCTAACAGAAAAGCTAGACACCAGTGGAAATTACGCGAGGGACGTCGCCAAAGCCTACGCAACTTTACACTTTATGCATAGGCAGCTGGGAGCTCTCACTCCCGAACTGTTCTTAAGGTTATATAAGGCATATGTGAGGCCACACCTTGAGGTGCATAATATCATTGCACCTCCGCTACTCAAAAGGGATGCTAACATTCTAGAAAGTGTCCAGAGACGAGCGACAAAATGGGTGATCGGCCTCCGCAACAAATCATATGAGGAACGACTAAAGAAATTAGGTCTTTTCACACTTAGTTACCGTAGGCACAGGGGAGACCTCATCACCGTCTACCAGATCTTAAATGACCAGGCCCACCCAAATAAAAGCATCCTGCCATTAAGTGATTATAGGCTTCCACGAGGTAACCCGCTAAGGATAGCACACCAGAGACCAAAGACTCGAGTGCGATCACATTTCTTTTCGCTTCGTGTTTGCCGTCTCTGGAACGCTTTACCGGCGGCCGTGACTACAGCGCCATCTCTGGAGATTTTTAAGCGGAAGCTAGACAATCATGCAGAAATGCAAGGTTTGTGTCTCAATGGCTTATCCTCATAAAACTTAAAACCACACTGTCAATGGATAAGCGTACAAACTAAATCCCCACGACCTATTCTGCCTTCTCTCACTCTATCTTTTCCTTAGGTCACCTTTATTATTCCACTTATCTCAACCTATATTATCTACACTACAACCTATTATTATTATTACTATTCTGCTTTTATGACTACACCGAATGACCAACGGGAGTTAGGTCAAACTCCATTCACGGCAGCAATACAGTCCTAACATACTGCATACTACAAACCACATCTTGACCAATCCCCGCACCACTCCTCTTGGAGTCTACCAGAGCTAAAGCAGTCGAGTGGCGGGACTTACTACGCAGAAGCTCACCGAAGATCTGGAACCTCTACCTCACAATCAAGAAGCGAGCTCAAAGAAATCACTGGTTTATACTAGCTCGTAATCAGGATATTGGATATTGGACAGGCGGCTTTTACAACAGCTGACGAAATCGATAAATTCAAAATATTCTACATTTTCGGGAATAAATATTCTTAGTGAGGAATTTGATTCTGGCTATGAATAATTTCGCTTCTTCCGCACTTTCGTGTGCTTTAAAAAGTTGGAGGATTCCTGGACGCGTGTCTTTAAGTAGGCTTATTAAATATTAATATCATGAGTAGTTGTTGCTCGCTATGGAAACAATCCAAGAAAAGCAGATGATAGTTTATTACTATGCTGTTCCAAAGCTGATACTCCCCGAGAATGTCATGCAGGGATTCAAGAGTCAGAAGAATGTCGAAGGAGCAGTGAGTGATGTTATAATTTATTCGTATAAAATGTTATACATACATTTCATACATTGCTTACAACATTCAGATGCATTGGTGTAAATGAAGAAGCTACGAAATTAGCGAAATTGTTGAACATATAACTTTAGATCATAGTGTCTTAAATGTGTTTATATTTCTGATTCTGTTGTTAGATCTAACCCAAGGTCCCAATATTCCCAAAAGACCAGGTAGTTTTCCTGTCAAGCTTCCCTAGTGTATGCATGTTTTACTAGCTCCACTCAGTTGATTATTCACACAGTAATAAAAAAGTTTGTCTTCCTGGGGTTTGTTGAGCAAATCCAAAACTAAAGACAATTCTATCGATCTGATTATAACATGTAGATTTAATCGATTGTCTAAATTAGTGTACTGAGTTGTCTACCATACTTCAACTTTTCCACAATGACTCAACGCGTTAACCAAACTCATTACCTCCCCAAAATTATTATATTTCTGAATAAAATATCACTAGTTCTGAAATAATTCTAACATCCCGTAATGAATAAATTCCGAATCTGTTCTGAAATGGATTCTTTAATGTCACAGACTAGAATTCAGTGCTGGTTTTCAGCATGACTGGCACTAATTCAGCACCGTGTTCTTTCTGTAGGCATATATCACGAATAGATCAAAACCTACTGGGTTTGCTTATCAGCGTTGTTCCAGGCCTCACAGGGCATGTTAAGCACGAACTAGCGTTAATTGAGAATGAAAAGACAATTCAGCACCCAGATCTCTTTTTAATCACGACCAGCGTTATTTCAGAACATAGTGGGTGGATAAAATCTTCATTTACCATAAAAAGACATCAAGGAATAGGTTAGAATAAGTTTAGAATTGTTGATAGCTTAGGTGGATGTCGTTCTCAAATTATGTCGGATGAATAAGAATCTGGTGTGGAAATATATGTGAACCGTGATTTCGCTTGTATATATATATATATATATATCGCCTCTAAATTCTTTATTAACTTGACTCTGGTGTTACCAAAGACTGGACAGTGTTACCGTCCAAATTTTCAGCCCACTAACCCTTATTTACCCACTACATACATTGTAAATACTGCTAAAAATCACGACCTGTTGTTATCATCTCCCATATATAACTGCTCATTGGGCACGCTAACGCAACAAGTAAATTTACATTCGATTATATATCTGTTTTGGTAGTGTTCAACTATGTTGTGGCAATACTCAAGAAGTATTGCGAGATAATACAGTTGGTAAGCTGAATTTTAACTTGAGTTATTTAGAGCTAATTGTTATAGCCATATTGGGCCTGATGATGCTGATATCGTGCAAACTTGTCACTAGATTTTTATTTCCCATCTGTGAACACTCAGTTTTGCTCAGAAATTCCATCTGGTGGTCATGTTCTGTACACTACACCTGTAGAGAAATAACATTTTCTCGAGGAAATAATTGTTAAAGGAAGTAGTTACCTAACTGGTCTCGCTTTCCACTCCTAGTCGAAAACATTATTTCTATTGTGTGAGTTAATGTTAGATATAGGCATATATATTGCGAACTAAGAATAAGTTCATGGAGAGATGATCGGTCTACCTGAAAATTGTTGCAGATATGGTGTGATGCTATCAGAATAGGTGGTGTTTAATGGAATGATAAGCAGATAAATCTAAGTACTAGCAAGACCTGGAGCGATCATCCAGATATAAGTACACGCTTCTCTTAATTCTAGAAAATATTACTTTCCGGTTTATTAAAGAGAAGACATTTCACTTACTGGATTGCAAGTTCTAAATGTCATATTCACTAGGACTCTGAGTGCCTAGGATTATACCTTATTTTTGTTTATGTATACGGTTTTCAACCGATATATATATATATATATATATATATAGTGCCTTTATATTTGATTCTTTCTTTCGATTTGTGTTTTACTTTGATTCAGATAAGCCTCAAAATCCAGGTGGACCTATGGAAGGTGAAGGTAGTGGCCTAAATCCTGGAAATTCGGATCATTATAGTACTACTTCTAAAGAACACATTGGTGGGATCGGAGGAGGTGGAGGAGGTTCTGGAAGTGGTCATGGATCTTTCATAAAGTGTAGTAAATGCGGTGGACCTTTAAAAGCGATTGAGCCAACTACCTCATGTAATATTCTTTTTCATATGAGTAGTTTAAATTATTTGATATTGTAACCATTTTTTCTGATGTATTTAAATATATATTTTTTGACTTATCACGTAAAATCAATCTAAGACAAAGTCTAGGATGGACGGTAAATTTTGATATCCTACCGATAAAATATATAGCGGTAGTTGACATTTCTAAAACATCTCAAACGCTTACCTTTTCAGGCCCTTATCGTACATAAGAAATTCATAAAGTAGAAAGTTTTTGAAGACAAAACATTTTGTTGATATATATAACTTGATTCAGCTATTTGGTGGTTTTCATTCAAAGGGTTTCAGCTTTTAATTTCATTATTCTCATCAAATTTTGGTAATAATAATATTACTAATATTACTGACCATTATATATATATTACCTTATATACTATCTGGTAAAGAGACTTGTCTGTTATTGCCATACTGTGAATGCTATAGTAAAGGATAGAACCAAAGCGATTTTGTATAAAATAGGCACTGAGATAATTAGAATTCATCTTTACATTTTGTTTTTAATATTATATAGTGTAATGGTTGAATGTATATGCCTGTTCGCGTGTTTGAAAATTTCCACTAATCTTAATGGATTGGTTGTTGACATAGTATTAACACAGATACAGAAGGTCAATCTGTGTTTTGAAACTTGTCTCATTTTTAGCGTAGGTGTGATATTCAGTACCCATTGGAAGATGTATGTACTCTTTAGCAGTTGATATAGTCCTACTTTATGATTGTGTGGTATGATCTCTGAAGATTTGTGGTTTCTGATCAAAGTTGTCTCTTTTCAATCTTTGATGTTAGGTGGAGAGTCTAGTGTGTTAGTTAAGGAGGTGAAGTCAGTTGATCAGATTGTGAAGCTTAATCGAGTGAAATGCCTAAGATAGGTATTGTGCATGTGGAGCCAACTCCTTAACTGGCTAGGGATGTTAACTGAGATAGGATTAGTTCCGAAATGAGTTAAGGCTTGGTTAGAATGAAGAATCAATGGCTTGACACTTGGTGACCTGACTCAGAATTGTTCGCTGCGACGCAGACGTACTCACTTATTGTTAAAATCCAGATATTGAAAACTTTCACCAAGCTTCACCTAAATATTTTTCTTCCCTTAAATCGTGGTGCCTTTTAGCCAAGCCATATTGATTTTCTTTGCCTTTCCGGAGTGTAAATTTTGTATTATTGAGGCTGTCTGCAAGCTAGGGCTGCCTAGCGTGTCATATGCTCTGGTGGTGTTCTCGTGACTTTTGTTGCCAGATCTGGCAAGGACGATAGGATAATGCACTATCTATTGGTTGTTTGCAAAGTTTGAAGGGTTGTACGATATACGCATGCACCTCGCTGTAATAATGTTTCCTGTAGATATGCTGGCGTCCAAAAACTCTGTCGACCGAAAGGCAATCTTGCAATTTTAGTCGTGAAGGGAGTTCGAGGAAGTAAGTCGCACTAATCAGGGCACACAGCCGTGTAAGGGCTTGCAGAGAGTTATCATCTGAAGTGATGACAACCAGTGGTACTAATGGAAATGACTATTTGACTTCAACGATTTAGGGATTGACTTGTTGCCAGAGAATAATTTTGTCGACCTAGATGCTGATAATATAGTCCTCCTGGGTGAGGACGATAATGAAATACAGAGTTTTCTAAACACATTTGACAGTAATCCTCGAATGTTTGGCATGTGATTTGCTCCCGTCAAATGTCAGATGATGCTACAGGACATGGATACATCGACTCCTACCATGAAGATAGGGAGTAAAGTGGTGGGGCGTGTTGACCAATTCACGTTTATGGGAAATTGCATCAACCCCAAAGTAGTGATTGCTGGCAAAATCCGAGGCTCTTTTTGGGATTTTGCCGACTTACGTCATCTCTGGTTTAGGCGTGATATACGGTTATCAACCAAAGGACGTGTGTACTTCTCAGCAGTTCCTTCTGTCTGTCTGTCTCTGTTTTCGACAAAGAACTTTGCACAAATGTGCGGCAGTTCAAGTCGCCACACTTCGTGTAGCACGCTAAGCAAGAGAAGAAAGTACAAGAAAAGCATAATAGAGACAGTGAGCAGAGGTGTGAGACAAAGGAGTAATAACGAAGAACAAAACAGTTTCATTGGAGATCATAAGTCACAAGTCACCTATGGAGTTCCGTGCCAGCGAACCAACAACGGTGACCGTCTCCTACAGTTCTGTTCAGATAATCATTTGTTTCTTGTAAGCACTAACTTCAAACACAAGGAGAGACACTGTCTGACTTGGAGACCCCCTTCATCAAACCAACGCTGGACACAAATAGACCACATAGCAATAAGTTATCGTTGGCGTGGGTCGGTAGGAGATTGTCGCTCCTTCTGGAACACGTGTGTAGATACCGATCACGCACTGATCCGCGCTCGGGTGGGCTTACGACTGAACGGACGTAGGAAACAGCTGGCGGTAAAACCATCACGTCCCCAGCTCGATCAGGAAACGAAATCCGTATTCGAGGAAGAACTAGCTAAACACATATCTGTGTTCGACAGCTGTGCTCACCCTGAAGAAGCTTGGAAGAATATCCAGGCAGCCATAGATACAGCTGTAAAAGCTGTGAATAAGGTAAACCCAAAGGTGAGTAAAAACCACTGGATCTCCACCGCCTCATCCGAACTGACAGATGCTAGAAGACTTATTCCGGCGAGCTCCGAATTCAATGAGGAGCGAAAGCTGCACAAAAGGAAACTCACGAAAAGTCTCCGCTAGGACCGTGAACAGTGGTGGGTGACAAAGGCGAAAGAGATGGAGGACGCTTCGAGGATAGGCAACACCAGGACACTATTTAGACTCATCAGGGAAACGGGTGGGAGAAGACAAATCATCATTGAAACAATCTCGGAAAAAAATGGTACTATAATTAGCTCCCAGGTTAGACGACTGGATCGCTGGAAAGAGCATTATGAGGAGCAGTTTAATTTGCCCACAGCCACGCTCAACCTTCCGAACTTTCAACACCTCCCTGAATGGGATATAGACACAGCTCCTCCACCCCTAACTGAGGTTACTAAAGCTGTTACCAATCTGAAACTAGTTCCTTCTGTCCTCCTTTATGGCTGTGATACATAGCTATTGATAATGGAAAACATGAAAAGGCTATATATCTTTGAACATATATGTCGGCGTTTTGTTGCCCATGTTGGTTGGTACGACAGGTTGAGTAATATTAAGGTTAGAAGTTGTGTTAGGTAAGGAATGTAAGTCAGTCGACGAGAATGTGAAGATGTATTGATTAGGGGAGATGACTAGGACATTCGTAATGTATGCCTAGCTCGACAGGGAGTGTTAGCCGACATAGGATTAGGTTGGAAAGCGTATAGTAATAGTTAAACCAGAATCAGTCCATGGAATCCTTGATGGTTAGTTTGATCCACGTAGGGATGTGTAAGCTTCCCGTCTGGGGTCGTCTAGATTCTAAGAACCAATGGCTGGAGACAATCGGTGATATGGCTCGAAATCGTTCTGGATGGTGCAGATGCATTCACTTTTCGTGACCTACCATATCCAAATAAACCCGATTGTTCTTCTGTTACTATTCTTTCACCCTCACATCTCTGCTTATTGTCTTTCTTTCTAATCTTTTTTTCCTCTCTTTTGTCTCTCTTGGTATACTACATGAAATGTGGTAAGTTGAAGTGGTGCACATTTATGCAAAGTTCCATGTTGAAACCAATCAATCAGTGACACTTATTTACTGGTTTTGTAATTAGTTATTTAACAGCGTATGCAGTTTTCAAGGTATTGTGATGTAAAGTATTCATTGAGGTTTATCAGTAGCCTATTTGTTTGACAAATTTTGACAATCAATTACTTGTTTATTGCTAATCTAAGGTTTAGGCATTTAGATAAGTATGATTTTATGCTAGACAGTGTTGTTTTCACTTAACACCAATAACAAACACCTTAATAAAATACTAGGTTTGTTTTGTATTATTTCTTTTTGAATAGATTTCTAATATTCTACTATTTCATGTACTCCAGTTAATAGATAGATCCACCAGCGATACAATCTGTCGTTTATCCATTCAGTATATGTATTTTGTGGCTGTATTATGTTATTATTCCATTGGATTTCGATTGGAAAATGGAGCGCTGTCCCCTTCAGCTGGGTCCACGATTGCCCATAATCTCTCATCTCCTCCTCGCCACATGATCTCTTCCATGTCACCGTCGCATCGCAGACCCACTTATCGTCTTCCTTCTAGATTCTAGCCGCGATGTCATTCGATGGTTTCCTCAACATGTGTCCGATCCATCCATCTCCACTTTCTCCTACATATTTGTTGAGCGATCGGCTCTTGCCTGCTGGTTTCTTCCTAGCCAGAGTTTCTTGTTGCTTATTCTTTGTGGTTATTCGATCTTCAATATGTAGCCAGCCAGCTAGCCAGCCATGGGAGGTGGAAGCTGTTGATAAAAGTTTGTAGTATCTTGTTGGAAATCCTTTTTGTGACTGACATGCGGTGCAAGTTTCTGACGTGTATAGAAAAACTGACTGACTTCACATTGGTGTTGAAAATGCGAATCTTGTTCTTTATTCTGAGTGAGAGCTGAAGATTTCCATTGGTTTCAGGTTGATGAAAGCGTGCGTATTTTGCCTTTCCGATCCTGCCTTTGATATCTTGATCTGTTTCCAATGCCTGTTGTTGAAACGATGCTTCCCGGCTGGATAATTGAAGGAGGTGACCTCTGTTGAATATCTCCCGTTGATGGTGATTGGTGCTGGTTGTTGTTGTTGTTGTTTGTGGTGGTGGTTGGTTATCTTCATCACCTCCGTCTTCTCTATGTTCACCTGGAGTGGAGTCCTGTGTTTGCTGCCTCTTCATCCAGTTTGTTGGTTTTCGGTTGCAAGTCTTTGAGTTTGTGTGACATTAGACATATATCATCTGCGAAATGCAGATCTTCTAGAGTCTTCTTATCGGTCGTCGTCCAGCGTATTCTTGACTCCTCGCCCCCAACATTCTGATGCATAATCCAATCCACCACAATTAAGAATATCATCCGTTGTGATAATAGACAGCCAACTTGTCTTAATCCTGTATTCACTTTGAGCGCTTCGCTGAGTTTTACGTTTTTGGATCATCTAACACGTTGCATTGTCAGCTTTTGAATGAAGTTGATAAAGATACTCTTTGAAATACCAAACTGCCTTATATATGTATTCTATGAAGATTTTTAAAATGAAAGTGTCTCCTACAAATAGGAGGGATACAGGAAATCCTCTGGTGTCTCATTTGTGTAATGTATGGTTATGCTTGGTTAAATGATATCATTTTAGGAATGCTTTGAATTATTTGTTTGAAGTTGAGTTTCGAGTTCTATTGAAATCTGGTGGGTGACTTGTATTGAACCTCGCCCGGATGTTTACACTTTCACACAAACAGACTGTAAGTAAAAGTTAACATCCTCTTGGATTGTATAAAAAGGGCTAATTTTATGTGAATACAGAGCTCAAAGGATATCTGTTGATGGTCGATCGAATGGTCTTCTGAGGGTCAATAAAGTCTACGGTTTTAATCACGTACGTAAAGGCTGTTACCGACAAGGACTGAGAAAGCCTTAGGAACGAGTCATGACTCAACTTTTTTTTTGCTATCGAGCAGGTTATCCAGGAGGGGTACCTTACTACTGTCACATTTATTGTGATTGGCGATGCACTTCTGTCTTAGAACACCTTCTAGTAGGATGAACTATTTACATCTTTATGGTTGCTTTTTGGTTTTTAGCACTACTGAACTAATCTTTATAATGTCCTCCAGGTGCATTTTAGTTTATGAAGTCGTCGTTGTATGAAATTTTTACTACATGAACAAGGTGGGAAAATTATTTATTTATTAAAACACAAAATTTGTATATTGTGGGCTCCGAGAGGTGCACCACACGAAGTCTTATTGTTTGTGCGAGGGCTGAGGTACTACCTGGACGCACAAACCTGCCTCAAAGTACCAACCTTCCCCGCTTCTGAGCCTTTAACATGAAGTCTGATCTATAAGGCAGTGGGGCAGAGTCAGGAGGTATTTTACCATGGTTTCCAGTATTCGAAACAGTTCTCTACTCCTATTCGATCCTTTCAAGTTATGAAGCCCATGCACACCGTAGATATATGATGTCAGGCTTCTCGAGCTCCCCTAGATGGACCTGGTTGTAGGCTCCAGACATTCACCCTTTTATATTGACATTGTGTGTCATACTTGTTGCACGTGCTAGGTGTTGATTCGATGAGTAAAGATACAGTAATCAAACTCTCTCTCTCTCTTTCCCCCTACCTGTATTACTTTTTTGAACTGTAGTTCTGTCTCACCCTATTGTGTAATTGTGTGTTAATGCATACGTCACAATTGCCCAGTTCTCTTCTAAACTATTCGTCTCTCTGAGGTGATTCATTCTACTCTAAGTTAAATTCTTATGTTGCGGTAATCTGACTACTATTGATCTACTGGTTTCAGCGGTGTAGTTGAGCTCACAGTCATTGCAAGGTCTTTTTTGGATTACATTATTGTGTCAAACTGGATGAACAAAGGGTCCTTTAGTCCAACAGAGCTTGTCTCTGAGTAGGCTCGTACAAACTCACTGGGAATTAGGTGAGATGGTATTCCAACCCCTGTACTTACTAGCTGCAAATAGAATGCGTAAGCCAGTAAACCACATCTTCACGGTCAACTGGTCGAATTTATCTCAGGTTGATTGATTTATATTCCTCAGTAATGGTATTGTGAAACATTGATAGTCTTTACTATTGTCATATATATATATATATATATATATATATATATATATATATATATATACTTGTTAGGTGGTTGCTACCTAGCGCTCATTCAAAAGTATCCAATAGAGTTCCACAGGAGGTCAATCGTTAGCCCAAATAGCTCGGTAGTAATGTTTCTGACTTCAGCACTAGGTGATAGTCTGGGTTCGAATCTCAAAAGAGACGTCAGTTCCTTCAATGGCTGCAGATACACTTTTCTGATGGATGTCAGTCAGCATGAAACACAGTTTTAGGTCTCCCTGCCTATCTGTCACTTCCAACCATCTAACAGCAGTCCGGAGTTCACCATGATGGTATGCCAATTAGCATGATGACCATCACATTTCAAACTTGACTCTGGTAGAATTCAGTCTACACCAAATGAAGGATTGGTGTCTAATCAAAGTATTAATTACGCTTTTTGTTTATTGCATCACTTCATCATATGTTGTTAGTGTTACTCTGGAGTTGGGCACCACCAATTCCCGCCATTGATATTATGCAAATAATGTTAACTGTACTGCTTACCTAGGAGGATAAAATAAGATCAATATAAATACAATTGTTTTGTTCTTTTTTTTACTTTGTATTACCTGTGTTTGTTTGTTTATTTGTTGTTATTGTAGATATATCGCGTTTCATGAAATGTGAAGCCTGTCAACAACTCTATACACTGATCGATAAATCTGCACTTAAGTCATTTAATAATGTTGAAGAGAATCGACCTCCTCCACTACCTATTCCTAAAGAGGTAACACACATATATCTGTATCATATACATATATTCAACTATCCTCTTTTGAAGTGAAACCGATTTTAGGGTACATTTCATCGAATACATTATGCTTTATTGTATTGTTACTAATAAAAGACTAGCAGAATAAATAAGAATTAACATTCCCCCAAAGTTAGATAGATATTTTTTATTTTATTTTGGATTACAGCATGATTCCACACCGTATTTTTGGTACAAGTATGGAATTTTCAGCATGGATATCGGTAGCCCAAATTTCGCAGGCCGACCATTGATATCAGGTGTGCGTCGGTAGGGGATCGAACCCCGGCCCATGTGCATGGTGGGCGAGAGTCCTAACCATTGTGCCACCGACGCACCGACTAATGTCATCAAGAGGTTCTGGACACGTGTGGATCTTTTACTTGTTGATACTCATCGGCCAGGTTGGGGCACAAGCCCTCACCCTCTCGATTCTAAATACAGGCATTAAGAGGAGACACTTATTGGATGCTAACTCTGTGATACTTCCTGGTTGCGTAGACATGAGTTTAATAAAATGACCCCCACATATTAAAATTTAAACCCTTAACATTTCAGTCAGTGGATTATTCATTTTTCATTACAAATTGTTGCTATTTTATTCACACTGCTTTCACACGGTGGGGATGGGGTGGGGTATTCGTCACAAAGTTGAAAGGGCGAATCCGAATATCTGACGTTTAAAACCAGATTAGTAGGCATTATGGTCTACCTTGGGGAGTTAAAAAACCTATAGTGTAAATGGCCTCCAGAATCTAAAAGAAGTGAATGGCGTATAAACTTGTTTTAGTTACCGACATAACTCCTGACGCTACTCCACTGCTTTGTGGATCAGACTTTGTCTGGGTGTCCGGGCAGTATCCCAACCCTCACACAAACTATAAGGCATCTCTTGGTGCCTATAATGCACCAATTTTGTGTTATGATAATAATACTAATATGCTATTCGATATACAAGTAATTTCTCTATTAAAGGGTGGATTTTTTTCAGTCGATAATAAGGGTAGGTGCGCTACTCACTATACTAAGTTTTTTAAGTATGCGATGAAGCAAGATTATGGTACCAATTCGCCATTCTTGAATCTAAAGTAGAGGTGGTAAGACTAGGACACGGCCACTAGCTCACGAAATCAACGATTATTAATGTTAGCCTAATAGGGAACTACAAATTGCGTAACTCATTTGTTTAACGATGACTAACAGGTATTATTGATGAAATTGTTCTAAATTGTTCATAATACCGCGAATGTAATCTATGTAATGTGTCGTGACCAGTAGGGTGCAGCAGGTCGGGTGTGAGGACCAATACTCGCCGAAGACATTGGCTAGGGGTCGCGCTATGTCGTGAATTGGCAGACATTAGAATTCATGGGCCATTAGATGGGGTCCCAGTGGCTTAATAATATACGAGCTGGCTCGCCTTGTAACCAGAAGGTCCTGCGTTCGGACCTCCTGTGGTAGGTGCGTACTGCTGAAGAGTCCAGACTTGGCTGATGGAACAGCTGGCTGTGCAGTACTCCCTGGCCGGTTTTCCAATGGTTCTCTAACCAATGTCAGCTCATGATGAAATCCTGTAACCAATCAACCGAATCCCTACAAACCAACACTTGAATAGTAATGTATTCTTGTTCACATGAATATTTATCACTATCAGTATATTTCTCTTCTCTCTTATTTTGTGTACCCTTTATTTTTCGAAATTTGTCACTTTGAACTAATGTAAATCTGTGCAAAGTTTTTTATTGACTTTTTAAATCACCAGAACGTGAATGTAACTCTTTTGGCACAATTATATCTTCCTTTTATATCTATTTTTTGAAACTTTTGGTGTATTGTATACCAAAAGAATGGTTACCGAACAAGCAATATTCTTTTCGATAATCCCTTCTTTATCATCAGGTTCCACAGTTATATATACACATAACAGTGAATGAATTAGTCTTATAGACAACATTAATCAATAATAATAATATCAATGGTTTACAATTCGATGGCATCAATATAACAATACACTGAATGAATATCAGACAGGCAAATTAGGAAAGATAATAATAATGATACAAATTCATGAATTTATAGTCTTCACAGAAGACCGGTCGGGTCAGTAGTAGTGGCTAGTTGGACTTGCTTCTTCTGCACAAATTGCGCTGTTTGGTTAAGGAGAATGGTGATAACTTCTGATGTCTGGAGTTATGCGGTACCTGGATGTTTTTGGCAATTTATTTGGTATCCGATAGTTGATGAAGGATTCTTTAATGCTGGCTTTGTGACCGATTTGGACCAGGTGTTCTAATGTGGAGCTATTTGATGCTTCTCAATACGCTGTTATTTAGTCACACTGGCAGATGTTCTCGAGACAGCACGAAAAATCAAGTTCCTTGAGCAATGGCCAGTGTAACTCGCTGCACAAGTGCAGTTGAATTGGTAGATACAATTAGAAGTGGCTAGTCTAGGTACTTCATCTTTCAGTCGTGTAGAAAATATGACTTGTAGTTTGTCAGCATTAAAAGTTCTTTCAACTGGTTCTCTTCACTTCTTCGTAATTATTACGCTAGTTATATCGACCTTGAATTCCAGTCTTATCCATAAAGGGTTTTTGTTTATGGATAGTGAATAGTCCTTTTCAACTTTCTTAGTGACATGTTTCCTGATGGATTTGTCTGGATAGGCTATTTTCAATTAGGATATCATATGCAATCCTTAGTTGATCTTCAGTTACCTCTTCTGAGCTGTGGCTGAGGATCCTTACTAAATTTCCTGTTTATTGAAGGGGAACGAAGCTGTGAAAATGTGTGTGTATTGTCCTGTCCATATAATTTTTCTATGCAAGTTTCTTTTTATGCTACCATTTGGTTTTCTTGTAAGGAGGACATCTAGTAGAGCGTTTTATTCTATTTTGAGATTCCTCTTCGCACATGAATTTTGCTGGTTAAAGGCGTAGAGTGTACTTCATTGAATTGAGTTATTATTGTGTTTCTGTCTGAATACTTATCACACAAAAGGCATAAAGATGTCATTCATAAACTGGCAATAAATTGAGAATTTTCTGATAAGGTTGTTCAAAGGTTTATTTTCTAGTTTACTTAGAAAGAAATCTACCAAAATGAAACTCAATGGGGGACCCATCGCTACCCCGTCCGCTTGTCTGTAAAGTATGCCACTAAATTTGAAATTTACATTGATGTTACACTCTTAATGACAATTCTTTTGAGACATCCGTTGGACACCAATATTTATTGATTTATTTTAAACCAGTAGTTTAAAAAAAACTTTAATGAGATACCCAGTGTTTGTGGTAGCAGAATGCTTCATGTAATTGTCAGATAACCATTTATGCCTTTAACTGTGAGATTGGGGTTTATGGTTTCTGAAAAATCTATTTATTTTTCATCTATGTAAGTGTGAAACTTGGACACTGTGGTAGAATGTAATTCCATATTAGAGATAAGTTTATTTCAAATTATCACACATTAATGATATGCAGTGTATTAACAACTGGATGACAAGGTTTCGAGCATAAATGATTCCTTCTCATAATTTAATATGAATTTTAGTCACATGGCTTCACAATCTGCCGTATATACTTCTCAAGTATTGGTTTTGTAGGGATTTTGTTTTTGATTACATGGAGGATTTCAACATGAGCTGGCATCAGTTAGAGAACTAGTGGAAAACCATCTAGGGGTACTGGACAGTCAGCTGTTTCGTCCTAGTTTGGGACTCCTCATCGGTACGCACCCTTCAGCAGCATTGGGCCGGGTCCTAGTGGCTCAATGGTCCACGAGCTCGCCTTGTAACCAGAAAGTCCTGGGTTCGAACCTGTTGTGGTGGGTGCGTACTGATGAAGAGTCCCAAATTAGGACGAAACAGCTGTCCAGTAGTCCCAGGTTTTCCAGTGATTTTATGATGTTCTGATGTCAGCTTATTATATATTTCTCCCTGTCTCAATTCTCTTGCTGTTTGTTGCCACTTTCCATATGTCCGGTATAGGCATTGTGTCTATATGATTGCACTTGTGAGTTGGCCATGCTAGACTGTAAAATATTAACGTAAACAAGGTGGAAAGCGACATATTGTAATAAATACCTACACCTTAATTCATGCCATCCAGAACTGGTGAAGATAGGTTTAGTTAAATATATGTGTGTATAATTGGGCCCGGAGCCCGATAGTGAAATCAAACAAAAAAAAAGCAAATATTACTAGTGCATAACTACTAACCACCAGAATTTATTCAGAAATGTATGAAATCCCATAGGAAGGAATAACATTAGTAATGAAAATGACGAAAGTGACAAAAATAATCTGGAATTCAAAGCCTCTGTAGTACTACTACTACTACTACTACTACTACCGTATAAAGATGGAACATTAAAGGCTTTATGTAGAATTCTCTTTGAGACTGGAATATTAGAGGTGTGGCATTCAAAACAAACAACTCGTTTGAGAGATAAACTTTGTAGGTTTAAGAACGCGATGGATTCGACTCAGGAAAACAAATGTGGTTAACCAAATAACATTGAATGACTGTTAGTGAGATCAATTATCTCATAGGGTGGTGAAACTAGTTGGTCGGAGTCAATTCGATTTTTCAGAACATAAAATTTTAGGTAGACATAGAATGATTAACTCGTGCTAAGTTAAATAACCTAGAAAATAGCTTGACCAAACTACATTGCCATTGACTTGCATGTAGTTAAACAATACGATTTTTATTCCTCCACGTTCCCCAGTGGAACATAGGGCTTCAAGCTTAGTTGCTTGAAGTTTCTGTAGCAATGGTGTTTATTTTTACAGGATGGGGTTGCTAGCCTCATGCCCAACCTTTCTTCTTTACCAGCAGTATTTCTGGTTTAGCGAGGTAAAGGAGTACGTCAATGGCCGGGGTTCAAACCCCGGACCATGTGCATGGTCGGTGAGCGTCCTAACTGCTGTGCCACCGGCGCACAACACAATACGACGGAACAGGTTAAATGTATTAAAAAGTAGTATTATAGTTAGGTGGTGAGAGTGAAAGGTGTTCATCACTGAATCGCGCTAAATCACGAATTAGTAGAAGTTAGAATTCACGAGCCATTGATTCGGTTCCCAGTGGCTGAATGGTATACGAGCTTGCCTTGTAACCGGGTTCGAACCCTGGCAGTGGGTGCGTACTGCCGATGATTCCCAAACTAGGATGAAACAGCAGCTGTCCAGTACTCCCTGGTTTTCAATGGTTCTCTAACTGATATCAATCCGTAATCAAACCGTAAAATTTGAAGTATTTGTTTTGTAGGGATTTTGTTTGATTGTATGGAGGATTTCATCATGATGTGACATCAGCTAGAGAACCACTGGAAAACCAACAAGAGGTACTGGACAGTAAGTTGTTTCGTCCTAATCTGGGACTCTTCATCAATACGCACCCACCTGGGTTCGAACTCAGGTCCTCCTGTGGTTCTCGAACTGATGTCATCTCTTCATGAAATCCTCCATACGATCAGGCAAAATTTGAATCAGACAAGAAAGACAAATGTATCAGAGATAATCTGAGCTCCTGTTTTTAATTTTATTATTTTGTCGATTTTTATCAACTGGCTGCATACAACCCGAACAATACCAAAATTATAAATTAAATTAAAGATGTGAACTAACTTTTGTTTTACAATGGTAATGAGCAATTGATTAGAACTGAGAGTAACATTGGTCAGCAATGATGGAAGTTGTTGAATAACTAAGAGTGAAAAGGGTCGACTATTTATAGAAGAATTGCATGACTAAGCTTGGAAACAAAAGGACAACAGAGTTCAACAGATGTTTTGTGCATAGAAATAAAGTTTAACTGAAAAACACATCTTCATAAAGTAGACAAAATAAAAGGGTTGGATGAGTCATGTTTAGACGAAAAATTCAAGTTTTTTTTTTAAACAGGACAGAAGAAGATGACATAGTGAAATTTGTGCTCTTTGTTATCAGTAAAGACAATGCAAGATTAACCACCACTGTCTCTTTCTGCATACATGGATTTGGTTTTTTTTAGCCGTTTGATGGTGATTGCCTCAGCGAAACGAAGCAGGCTATAGGTGTCTTTTGTGTGTTGATTATTTGTAACACCTTCCGATTGCTATCCACTACATGGCCAGTGTCTAGTGGTAGATGGCGTGCAATCGCACTGTTTAATGCCTGTGGGCGGCCGCCCTTTAGTTACAGCGATGTTCTTCCAGTGTGTATGTGCTTTGGCACGTACATGTAAATTGGTAGATGCAGTTGGAGTTAACATGAGGTGGGGGAGTTTGTCCACTTTTGACTGCCTTAAACAACTCATCGTTTAATAAACACTGAGTCTTTGTGTTTATCGATTCAACACGGCACACGTTTAATCGAAAGGACAAAACATCTCATACCGGACATATGAAACGTGGAAACAAACAACAAGGGAACACAGACAGGGAGAAATGTATCAAAACAACTTGTGACACAGTATGACTAAAATTGATATTGATTATGTACTGGAATCATTTATGCTTGGAACCTTGTCATCCAGTTGTTAATACACTGCATATTATTAATGTGTGATAATTTGAAATAAACTTATCCCTAATATGGAATTCCTATATTTATCTTTTATTATAAACCTGATTATGGATTGTTATCTGTTAGAGAAAACCATTGAAAACCAACAGAGAGTACTTGGACAGCTGTTTCATCCGGTTTTGGGAATTATACACCCCCGTGCCTCCACCACCAACAACAGGGGCTAAACTACCAAAATGAGAAGTCGTGATCAGCGTGATTCACTAACTTAAGTGTGAAGACAAATTCTCACCCAATGACATTGGCTGGCTCTTGTGCTGCTGTATATCGTGAATTCGCAGAAGTTAAAATTCATTGCGTCACTGAAGTGTGTTACAAGTGACTGAATGGTCAAAAAGCTTAGTCTCATAGCCTAAAGGCCCTAGGTTTGATTGCAAATGGGGTTAGGATGGTGGGTGATTACTGCAGTCCTCTCCGTTCTCCTTTATGACTGTGAGACCTGGCCATTGAGAGTAGAAGACATGAAAAGATTAGTCGTCTTTGATCATAGGTGCCTACACTCTATTTTCCGTGTGGAGTGGTATAATAAGGTGAGCAATATTCAGGTTAGGCATCGGTCGAGTGCTAGGTGGGGAGGGGAAATCAATCGACGAGGCTGTGAAGCTACATCGACTGAGATGGTTAGGACATGTGTTACGTATGCCTAGTCATCGCCTCCCTCGACTGACAGGCAATATTAGCTGACATAGAATCAGGCTGGAAAAGAGCTAGCGGTGGTCAAACCAAAACATGGCTTCACCAGTCAATGAAATCCACAACAGTTAGTTTAAGCTACGTGGGAAGATGAAGACTTCCTGACTGGTTGGGGTCCTCGGGACAGTAAAAATTAATGAGGGCTGGAAACAATTGGTGATATGGCTGGCTCAAAGTGATCGTTCTCAATGGCTGGCTAGCGCAGATGCATCCACTCTTCGTGACTTATGATTTCCAATGAAACTATATTGTTCTTCGTTATTACTATTCCTTTGTCTCACATCTCTGTTTACTGTCTCTCTCTATTATGCATTTCTTCTATCTTCTTCTGTTGGTTTGTGTGCTACATGAGGGAAGTGTAGCGACTTGAACAGCCGCACATTGGTGCAAAGTTCTATGTCGAAAACAGACAGACAGATAGAGTACTGCTGAAGAGTCCGAAATAATCCTGTAGTACTCCTTGTTGGTTTTCAATGGTTCTCTGACTTATATCAATTAGTGATCAAACTCTAAACAAATCAATTATATATTTATTATTTTTTGTTGTTGTTGTTGTCGTCAGATACATTCATACTTAGATCGTCATGTGATTGGTCAAGAAAAAGCTAAACGAATTCTCGCTGTCCAGGTGTATGCCCATTACAATCGTATACAGCATAATCGGTCATTGACAGCAGCCTCAGAATCTGGTTCATTGAATTCAGCGTTTTCTTCAGGTGTTGGTATTAATTCAGCAACAAATGATGCTACTAAACATCCTGTTAACAATCCTTTCGCTTCAGGATATACCCCGGCATCACCATCAGCTGGAGAACTTTCAGCGCCTTCACGTTCTCAAACACCAACTGAAAATCTACGTCCACCTCCTGGTTACCTACCGAATTCAGGTAATGCTCATATAAATAATTATCAAGATGGTTCAAATCAACCATCTGTAACAGGTAGGCATAGTTTGTTCATCCTCTCTATCTAATCTGTATATACGTGTATAATGGGTTCTCAATCATAATTCTACATTAGAATTTAACTTGTGGATGGTGACTAGCAGTGGAATCCAGGACAACGCGCATTTCGTCCTATTTGTTACTCGTCATCAGCTGGATGTACCTGCATTCCCCAGTCATTGAGTGATGATGTTCCCAACGAGGCTGAAACCCAGTGCCCATAGTTTCAAACGCCAAAGCGTTATCCACTAGACCAGTTGGGTCACAAGAGCCACCTCTTGTGCAACGGTTCATATTAATTATTTAATTGAATTTTAGATTTTCCTGTTGATTGATTGGACCGAAGTGCTCGGTCTCAAGTTGACATGTCGGCTTCTTGTGCAAATGCTTCGAAAATCTAAGATTCAATTAAATTAATATGATCCGTCGCACAAAAGGTGGCTCTCGTGTCCCAAGTGGTCTAGTGGATCACTCTTTGGCATTTGAAACTATGGGCAATGGGTTCGAGCCTTGTTAGGAACATCATCACTCAATGACTGCGGAATGCCGATGACGAGTCCCAAATAGGACGAAATGCGCGTTGTCCTGGATTCCGTTGCTAGTCACCATCCACAAGTTAAATTCTAATTAAATGCCCAGACATTGTCGAAGCATCTGCACAAGAAGCCGACATGTCAACTTCAGAGCGAGCACTTCGGTCCAATCAATCGACGGGAAAATCTATTATTCCACATTATTGATTTTATTCTTTTTATTTTCCAAGTGGAATATGGCTTTCACGTTTCAGTAGGGCAACAGTAAAGAATCTACATCAAATTCAGACGACCGTGAAACGACCAATCAGATTCTTCTAGATGAAGTGTCATATAATTTACGAAAAGGTGTTTTCATTATATATATAATATTTAATATTATATATATATATATATAATTTAAACACAACGAACTTGGTACAGTATGTCACCAAGAAAATGCGCCACACAATAATACTGAGACAACATATCAGATAAAAAGTGAAAATATAGGTAGAGAACTGATAAAGTACTTCATGTGGGGTGGGTGGGAAGCAGTCATACTTAACGAGCTCGCACAGCATTCATCAATTGTTATAGGAAGGGTAAGAAAGAAGAAAATTACAGCGCATTCGTCCTTGATGATTGCGATTCTTAGCCATATCCAATAACGTTCTGAGCCACCGATTCGAGCTATCTGTCGGACTCCAACCACGGAGTCGTGACGCATCAATTGATGCTAACCTAAGACAAATATCCTTCATCCCATGACACCACTCTATGGATTGACAACCACACGGCTTTTTCCATCCTGTATGGAAGCCTCTGGGATGATATTCTAAGCACTTGCTCAGGTCACCGAATCCGGTGTTTATAAATAACACAGTGGTAGTCTCTATTGTATCGAAGCACACTCCGCTGAACCTCAGAATTACTCACGTGACGATACCATCGAACTCAAACAATCCTAAAGAGACAACGATGATCAAATACTTAGAGTCGTCGCACATTATCAGCTCGGAGAGGCCAGGTTTCCCAGGCGTAGAGCAAGACAGAATGCAACGACGCATTGTATACTCGACCTTTGACAGTCAGGCTAACGTCTCAGTGGCACTAGAGGTGGCTCAAGTAGGCGTATGCCATCCTAGCTTTCATGATACAGTTGGAAATCTCATCTGTCACACCTCTGCCAGCACTCACACAACTACTCATATACACGAACTTATCTACAACTTCAAGTGGTCCCATCTGCAGGAGTGAGTGCATGTACAGTCTCTTGCCAATCTTGTAACAGTACCTTGCAACTAGACGGCGCAAAGCACATGCCGTTACTTACAGAGACTGATCTCCAACTGATTAAGTGTGATTTGGGCAGCCTGGATGCTATCGCACAGTAATATGATATCGTCTGCATACTCGAGGTCAAAAAGTCTTCCTCCAGGGAGCAGATCCACATCACCTTGACGCAAGTCCTTCAGAGATGACTCTAGAACGTTATCGATTGCTAAGTTAAAGAGAAATGTGGAGATTGGGTAACCCTGTCTTCCCAACCGTACTGCTTTGAAACAGTGATGATAGTTGGTTGTATGTCCTCACTCTACCTGAGGTGTTTCTCTATAACGATTTCAAGATATTAACAAACTTCTCAAGTACACCCCTCTCTAGAGTGCAATTCTATCCAACAAATCGAAGGCAGCTCTAATTGTCAAGCAGCACAACGACTGTTAGCCTGCAATACGTGTGGCAGTGTTCTGACAACTGACGAAGAGTGAACACATGATCAATGCATCCACGGTAGCAGACCGTATTTTAGATGCATATATATATATATATATATATATATATAATTCTCCGTAGGCATAGATTTTGATCTTAGTACAAGACCTTATATGTACACCTGTCTGTATGTTATTTTTTTCAGAGTTATTTAATTTGTTACGTAATAGTTCAGCAATCACAGCAAAAAATGGTTCAACAACAATTGGAGATGGTTCAACAGGTTCACTATCTTTCCCATTCACTGTTGATAATCCAAATGAAGGAAATGAGGAGAGAGAGAAACATCGTCGTGGTTCACGAATTATTACAGATGATTCAGAGCAAACAGTAAAATTAGAAAAAAGTAATATTGTCATGTTAGGACCAACAGGTTCAGGTAAGAAAAGATTTTTTGAGTGTTGTAAAAAATTTACTTTTTAAAATCTTTTTTTGTTACTTTGAAGCTTGATTTGATGTAAAATTGATTGAATTGTGGTAGAAGTTGAAATTTATTAGCGACTGACCATTAGACGGTTCACAGTAGCTGAATAGAGGGTCCTGGGTTCGAGCCCCAGTGGGTGGCTGGGTACTGCTGGAGTGAAGAGTCTCAAACTAAAACGAAACAGCTGTCCAGGACTCCAAGGTTTTCTCAACTTGTGATTAGACCTGTAACCAATCAAATCTCTTCAAACCGATATTGAATTCATTTGGGTTAATGTTACATCATTGAAGCCAAACAGCTAGAATTACCAATGGTTATAAGAGAGATGAGTGATATCAGGTTACTACTAGTTTTGCGTAGATATTTTTTGCCAAAAGTTGAAGCTTGACTTCCACAGTTTGAACTGATGTGTAAAAGTCAGCTAAATACTGTTGCATTTTATTATAAAGTTGTTGGTGTTAGGAGCCGTGATACATTGGTTTCTATCCAACTACGAAGGTTTCAGTGTAGTACAGTGATGAGTTTCTCTGACTGTTACTTGGAAAACTTGGGTTCCGGGTTCAAATCCCAGCCACTGCACTCTTGGACTTCGCCCCGGAAAAGAGAGACGGTTGAGAGTAAGTAAGGTTGGCAACCTTACTCTCTTTAAAAACAGCATCATTGCTAGAGAGATTTCAGAGCTTAAGCCCCAATGGTCTACTTGAAATGCAGAGAAATGAAACGAAGCAACAAACATTTACTTATTGATTAACTTCTATAAAAATATGATTTTGAAGAAACACTGATATATCGGATGGTGTAAAGCATGTATGAGTATGTGTTCTTTACCTTATTATTTTTCGATCAGATTATGTTGCATTATGCCTTGGAAACACAAAGACATTTTAAGTCATCGTTGTATTTGAACCATTTTTCTCCCCTTTTTATTTATCTCTTGTCTTTATTGTCACTTTTGGTTTCATGAAATTTTATTCTCTAAGAGAAATAATTACTTTAGTATTCAGGCATATTAGTTTGTAGGAATTTGGTCGATTGGGACTGAAGAGTTCCAAACTAGGACGAAACACCTGTCCAGTACTCTCTACAGGTTTTCCAGTGATTCTCTAACCAATGTCAGCACATGGTAAATTTTCTGTAACCAATTATGTATAGTTTTGAAAGTTGGAGAGCAGCTTATCAATGAAATAAATACCGTTCTTGCTAAACGGGTCTACCAGTAGTGATCGATCCAAACATTCATTGGTAACCAAGCTCAGGCTTTCTCACTGATGATTACTTCTTATGGTTGGTGTTTCATTGGTAGAATGCTCTCTCGAACTAGTCACATAGCATCTGGGATTTTATTCCCAGACGACGACGCACTCGCAAATCTTGTTTAGCGAATAAGTTGGCCCTGGTAAAAAGGACGGAAGGTTGTGCGTATGGGGCTAGCAATCTCATCCTGTGAAAAATAAACACCTTTGCTACTAAAACTTCAAAGTTGAAACTTGAAGTCCCCCATATTCTACTTGGAGCACAAAGGAATAAAATAAAGTAAATACTCCTTATGTGTTTAACATGTATCAGAGTGTGTACTAAAATCTCCAGTCTTTTTATATACTGTAATGCGCACATATGTTTGAAATTCTGAAAGAGTTGGTTAGGAGATGTGAATTATTCTTTGGCGTAAATATTCAACGTTTATCTGGTGGATCGCACGTTAGGATGTGCCCTCTATCCACTTACATCAATCTTGACAGTTGGGTAGTATAATCAGGCGTCACAGAAAATAAGGTCGCTTGAAAGGCCTAGTTGGCGGTGATACATGTACGACATGTTCATGGTAAATAAGGATAGTGTTGTCATTTTGTTATGATTACTAAGCTATTTTTATTTTTATTCACCTCAGATTAGTGATTCACTTCTTCCTCCTAACCATGCACAACTTTGATGCCACCGATATTATTATTGTTGTTATTCCCCTGGGGGTTCCGAGTATAACATAAGCAACAACGCATCGCGATGTCACATTGTTCTCTGTCTTCTTTCTTAAGTAGAATGTACGGTTCCCCATAATCTTTCATTCCTTTCTTACACGAACTCCATATCATCCTTGGAGTAATGCTCAACTCGTCGTTTTTTTCATTTGGGTTCTACTCGAGAGCCTAGATTTGGTTCTGAGTCTAGAAAAAGGGGAGAGGTTTGGCATGGGATCGGTAGCGACTCTCACCCTTAGAGAATCAATCCAATCGTTATAGAAACTTCAAAGAAAAAAAATGAAAAAATATATATGAAAAAAGTGGCTTAGAGATACATAGGTAATTGTTGGTATTAGATGGTTGGAGGCAGTCAGCCACGGGAAGCCTTGAACCTACATTTTGTACTAGTTGGCAGTCTTCAGCAAGGCGTATCTGCAACCTTGTAGGAATTCATGTTCCTTCTGAGATTCGAACCCACATCACCCAATGCTATAATCAGAGACGTTACCACTCAGCTCTTGGTTGGTTTGTTCCCAGTCAGCGTTTCTTGTTGCTTATTCTTTCTGGCTATTCGATCTTCAATATGTAGCCAGCCAGCTAGCCAGCCATGGGAGGTGGAAGCTGTTGATAAAAGTTTGTAGTATCTTGTTGAAAATCCTTTTTGTGACTGACATGCGGCTCAAGTTTCTGACGTGTATAGAAAAACTGACTGACTTCACATTGGTGTTGAAAATGCGAATCTTGTTCTTTATTCTGAGTGAGAGCAAAAGATTTCCAAATTAGTTTCAGGTTGATGAAAGCGTGCGTATTTTGCCTTTCCGATCCTGCCTGTGATATCTTGATCTGTTTCCAATGCCTGTTGTTGAAACGATGCTTCCCGGCTGGATAATTGAAGGAGGTGACCTCTGTTGAATATCTCCCGTTGATGGTGATTGGTGCTGGTTGTTGTTGTTGTTGTTTGTGGTGGTGGTTGGTTATCTTCATCACCTCCGTCTTCTCTATGTTCACCTGGAGTGGAGTCCTGTGTTTGCTGCCTCTTCATCCAGTTTATTGGTTTTCTCTTACAAGTCTTTGAGTTTGTGTGACATTAGACATATATCATCTGCGAAATGCAGATCTTCTAGAGTCTTCTTATCGGTCGTCGTCCAGCGTATTCTTGACTCCTCGCCCCCAACATTCTGATGCATAATCCAATCCACCACAATTAAGAATATCATCCGTTGTGATAATAGACAGCCAATTTGTCTTAATCCTGTATTCACTTTGAGCGCTTCGCTGAATTTTGCGTTTTGGATCTGTCATATAGCCAGCTGTTAAATGAAGTTGACTAAGACTTGAGGTACATCGTAGTGGTGAAGTTGTTTCCAAATTACTTCTTGGCCAACGCTGCGCTGTCGAAGGCTTTTTCGAAGTCGATGAAGTTGACGTAGAGGTTTTACTGCTATTCTGTGCTTTGTTCTGTGTTGATGATGATGATGATGCGTAGAATTGAAATTTGATCAGCACGTGATTTGCAGTTTCTGAATCCAGCTTGTTCCGGTTGACAGAGTTCTGTATCTAGTGCATCCTATCATCCCTCCAGGACGATGCAACTTAGTATTTTACTTGGTGTAGACAAGAGCATTATTCCATTATTATTATTATTATTATTATTATTATTATTATTCAGTTACAATAATAATACATTATATAATATTATCATAATTGCAATTATTCTATATCTGTAATTTAGGCAAAACATTATTAGCACAAACATTAGCTCAATGTTTAGACGTTCCATTTGCTATATGTGATTGTACAACATTAACACAAGCAGGTTATGTTGGTGAAGATATTGAATCAGTAATTGCAAAATTATTACAAGATGCAAATTTCAATGTAGAACGTGCTCAACAAGGTATTGTATTTTTAGATGAAGTTGATAAAATCAGTACTAAAGCTGGATATTTTCATTCAATACGTGATGTTGGCGGTGAAGGTGTACAACAGGTAAATACTATCTATAATAAATATTTTACTCTCCTTTATTTTTTGTGTTACATATTTGAATATTTATATTTTTTTTATTTCCAAACATAGACTCTTACATAGGTATATATATATATAACCTTTTTAACTTAATTGTGTCCATTGTCTGAGCTGGTTAATTGACTGATTTAACTGCAAAATCTTCGTCGTCCTCCTTCTAGACTACCACAATGCCCAAGTTTTACACATATATTGTATGTCCCGACACACAACCTCTGTCGTGACTGGTTGTTAATTTACGCCTCCATCAATCATAGTTTTTTTGACTTTGAATTCGAACTTTATTGTCATGTGATTTACACTTTATATTAGCTGGTGGTAAATTTAGTCTATAATAATGTGTTGGTGAGTTAGTTAATTGCTGACTGATTCATCTGAGTACAAAACCAGGCTACTAGGGATTCCCTGACGTCATTTTAGGCGTTTCTTATATTTAAATTTTCTACATTATCTCAATCATCAAAATGATGTCCATAAATTAATCCACCTCTCTGTCATTTCTTCATCTTATTACCACCATTTAAAAGTAAAAAGGTAAGAGTAAGTCAGTGGGGGTTGGATGGGAGAGTTAGTTTGCAGGGATTTGATTGATTTCAAATTTTGATCCTATAGGGATTTCAGTTAGGGGAACCATTGAAAACCACCAGAGGGGGAGAGAATACTGAGCAGTTATTTCATCCTTGTTTTGAGATTCGTCATCATTACGCGCCCATGAACCATCCCACCATCAGGGATTGAACTTGCGGGGCCTTTGACTTATAAGATGAGCTCGTTAACTAAAACTGTGAATCTAGTAGCATCATCGCTAGCCCTTGTCATTGTTGAGTACTTGTCAGTTAGATGAATCGTGATCAAATATGAAGTTAGTTTGATTTCGAATATCATTGCGAACTTTTTTGATTAGAAATTCATTTCATGGAGGATTTCAACATGAGCTGATATCACTTAGAGAACCACTGGAAAACCTGGTAGTACTGGACAGCTGTTTCGTAGTAGTTTGGGACTCTTCATCAGTACGCACCCACCACGTAAGGTTTGATCCCAGGACCTTTTGGTTACAAGCTCGTAGACGATTGAGCCGCTGGTACTCGATCCAATGGTCCACGAGCTCGCCTGGTAACCAGAAGGTTCTGGGTTCGAACCTTACATGGTGGGTGCGTACTGATGGAGAGTCCCAAACTACGATGAAACAGCTGTCCAGTACTCCTAGGTTTTCCAATGGTTCTCTAACTGATGCCAGCTCATGTTGAAATCCTGCGTGCAATCAAACAAAATCCCCACAAAACCAATACTTGAAAAGAAATTCATTTCTTCAAAGCATGCAAGAGATGGTCACTTAGGACGCTGCCGCATAAAGCTATGTTTCCTAGTGTGTGTGTGTGTGTCTGTATAATGAAAGACAACTTTAATTGATCCTAATTCATCTGAAGCCTTCAATGGCATTGTGTTATACGCCTGACTAGTATGTGATCCCTGCGAAAACTTTCTATACGATATATAATCTTAGCGTTATAGCCTGTGATAGTAAGTTGTATCCCCCAAAGAAATGTCTATCAACTGGGTTCTGTATATCTGTCTTGTATGATCATAGTCGAATTAGGACAGTACACTCTGTCTGTGAGCAATATTGAGGTGAGGCTTCAGTCGAGTGCTAAGTGAGAAGGGGAAATCAATCGACGAGGCTGTGAAGCTGCAACGACTGAGACGGTTAGTACATGTGTTACGTATGCCTAGTAATCGCCTTCCTCGACTGACGGACAATATTAGCTGACATAGGGTTAGGCTGGAAAAGAGCTAGTGGAGGTCAAACAAAAACATGGCTTCACCAGTCAATGAAATCTACAACAGTTAGTCTAAGCCACATAGGAAGGTGTAGACTGGCTTCCTAATTGGGGTCCTCAGGACGGTAAAAACCAATGTGGGCTGGAAACAATTGGTGATATGGCTGGCTGAAAGTGATCGTTCTCAATGGCTGGCTGGTGCGGATGCATCCACTCTTTGTGACTTATGATTTCCAATGAAACTATATTGTTCTTCGTTATTACTATTCCTTTGTCTGACACCTCTGTTTACTGTCTCTCTCTCTCTATTATGCATTTCTTCTATCTTCTTCTGTTGGTTTATGCGCTACATGGAGGGAGTGTGGCGACTTCAAGTGGCGCACGTCGTTGCAAAGTTCTATGTCGAAAATAGATAGACAGACAGACTTTGTCTGTTCACCATTTCATGTTTATGCGAAATCGTCAAAAGTAAATTTGTTTTATTTTAAAAAATAAAAAAAATTTGATTATTTATTTTTTGCATTTTATAAAAGGGTATGCTAAAATTATTAGAAGGTTCAATTGTCAATGTACCAGATGGTAAAAGTTCACGTAAATTACGTGGGGAAACAGTTCAAGTGGATACTACAAATATACTATTTATTGCTTCTGGTGCATTTAATGGATTAGATAAAATCATTGGTCGACGAAAACATAAAAAGGTTAGTTTAATAACTTTCACATTTTTGTTAATATCAGCGCTACTGTTTAATTTATTATCTACTTATTTTATTGATGTGGACTTATGAGAGTTTCATCCGTGTGTTTAGAACTTGTCAGCTGGATGTTTCTGCCTTCCAGCGAATAAGTGATGTTCTTGAGTGAAATTTCAACTCCAATCACTTACTGACAATGCGGGCACATCCAGTTGGCGAGTTCTGAATTGGACGAAACACGTGCCTTGGGTTCTGCTGAGGGAAGGTAATATCGTGTTACTAATCCAGTTATTGGCGAAGCGTCTTTTTATAAAAGAGGGGCAATATACCAATAGGGAACTGATCGATTCGGTTCAGATCTATGTGATGAAGTAGTAAACAGAAATCAGAATAATTAATATTATTCATTTGTGCGTTAATTGCATGTAAACTTTGTTTAACGTTACTGTAGATTGGTAATTTGTGTAAGCTGTGATACATTCCTATTATTACACATCCTTATGACTTAATATTTTATATCCTCGTTGTTCACACGGAGCGAATTTGATAAAATACTGCTGAAGAGTCCCAAACTAGGTTGACGAAACAGCTGTCCAGTACTCCCAGGTTTTCCAATAGTTCTCTAACCAATGTCAGCTCATGATGAAATCCTGTTACTATTATTATTATTATTTTCTTGGGTTCTGTGTAGAACTTAGGTCTTCAACTGCATATGCCTATTTCGTCCTGTTGTCTGTAGTTCTCTTGATCTGTCTCTACGGTGGCCCATCGGCTCTCATCTCTTTCTGACACAATCTCCTCCATGTCACTGTTGGATCAATGGCCAATTCGTCGTTTCCCATTCGGGTTCCACTCGACGATATGGTGGACAATGTTACTCATCATTCTCCTCAACGTTTGTCCGATCCATCTTGGTTGTTGGTTTGCTTCCAGTTTTTTGCTACTGGTTCTTTCTGGCTGTTTGGTCTTCAATATGGACAAGAGGCAGGCATCTCTTGATAGAAGTCTGCAACCTGCTGGAAATGTGACACGTCAACTTTCTGACCCATTATGAAGAAGAAGTGATTCATTTGACATTAGTGGCAAAAATCTGTTCTTTATGCTTGGGTGCAGAAGATTTTAAAACTGACTGACTTCAGAGTGATGAAGGTCTTTCCTTACCTTTGCGCTATCCCGTTTTTGATATCCTCATCCGTTCGGTGGGTACTTGAAAACTTGCTTCTTATACAACTGAAGGAAGTGACCACTTTTTTCAAATTTATTCCGTTTTGGTAGTGATTAGTGCTTGTTATTTTGGTTGGTTACTTTTTATCTCATCTGTTTCTCTGCCTACCTCTTCTCCAAACTTGTTGGTTTCCCCTTGTAAGTCTTCAAATTTATGTGACAATCATAAATGCTTTGCAATAGTTGGTTTGTAAGGATTAGATTTGCTTTTCACAAGGATTGATATCAGTTAGAGAACCATTGAAAACCAGCCACACGGAGTACTGGACAACTGCTGTTTCATCCTAGTTTGGAAGTCATCGGCAGTACGCACCCACCACAGCGGGTTCGAACCCAGGACCTTCCGGTTACAAGACATGCTGGCTTGTATACTATTCAACTACTGGGACCCGACTCTTCAATGGCCATGTATAAACTCTAGCTTCTACCAGTCGGTGAACTCCAGTGGGTGGTGCATACTGCCGATGACTCCCAAAACTAGGATGAAACAATTGTCCAGTACTCCCTGCTTGTTTTCAGATGGTTCTCTAACTGATATCAATCCTTGTGATATCAACTCGTAGAAACAAATCATAAATCCGCGAAATCAGGTCTTCTAGAGTCCTCCTTTGTTGTTGATCCGACGTATTCCTGTCTTCTCCCACATCCCTCACAGAGTTCCGAGTAGTTCATCCACCAACAACACAATTAGAAATATCATCGAGGGTGATAATAAAGTGTCAGCCTTGTCTTACTCACGTCTTTGCTTCAAAGGCTTCTCTGAATTTTCCATTTCGGATCACTTTCTAACTACTTACATCATCGACTAATCAGTAGTATATACCATCAATAATTTAACACTACCTGTCATAACATGTGTATGCAAGTGCAATTGTGTTATAAACTTTGTTATAAACGATAGGTGAATATTTGTGTATATGTTGTGTAATTAGGTGCCATTGTGCATTGCTGTCCACTCAAACGCTTTCACAGCCATTGATTTACACTCTTGTTAAATTAAGAAATGTAGAGAATATTTCTCTTTGTTTCGGGTTACACTTACTCTTGATATCTGTTTGCATAAGAGTAATCAGGATGTGTGTGTGTGTGCGCGCGAATGTGTGGAGAGAGAGAGAAATAGGGAGCAGTGTTCACGGATTTAAAATAAGGCCTGTCAATCGGTGGTGGTGGTAGTTGCTGATTGTAAACTTGCATACACATACATATTTTTCATTCGATTGTCAATCAATACTTCAGTTTATTTTTAATTTTTTATAAATTTATGATAAAAAGTATTCATACAGAAATATCTATTGAAAAAAAACAACAAAATAATTGAGCAAAGAATATTCTTTTCGAGAATTTTCTCTTCTAGCGCTAGAACAGTAGTCAATAACAATATTAGTGGGTTTTTTTAAAAATAATATCGATTTGTTAAGTAAGATCAATGGAATTACAGTTCACGAAAATGCTTAAATTATAATAATAACAACAAAGATATAATAACAAATAGAATATCAACTAAAATTAAGGAAATTTCTACAAAAAAGTTGAGGATCGCATTCGAACCTAGATGGCCAAGGTTAGGATAATTTCTGAACTAGCTTCTTTTAGACACATAGATTAGACTTCATAATGTGGTCTCCCAACGGCCAGCCTCAGCAATATTTAGTAGTCGAACTCTTAAGGCGAGGGTTAAGATCTGTTGTTTGGTATGCGGTGAATAACTTTGAAAGCCTCTTTCGTTGACATCAATCTTGTGTTCTGTATCCACAAGATGGGATAGAATAGCACCACGTGAATAGATTTTGTTTGTCCTTTACTTAACCACTATGCAGGGTGATGTTTGGAAATCTGACAAGAAACAAGCCTAATTGTTTTCGGCCTATGTATAATTTTTGGATGTAATTCTTAATGAGGTGGATCTACAGGCTTTATCACTTGGCCCTAAATTTTGTGATAGCTGTGTTGAAATCAATAAAATGGATGCACAAATTTAGTTTGAAAGTCTCTACACTCAAACAGAAGACCTAACAACCTCATCAACTGAAGATGTTGAAAGACTCAGTCAACTCTGGTCAATTGTTGCTATTATTATATGAATAGTAAACGTAATTCGGATAGTATTTTGACCAAAAAAGCATAGAGAAGCTCTAAGTATTCTCCATAAAAATGATAACAGTAGTAATAAGACCGGATAAGGATTCAGGAGTAGTTGTCATGAACAAAGCGGTTTATTTCGAGAAGATGAATACTATTCTTAATGACAATCTAAAATTCTAAAAAAAAACCTCATCTTCTCTGGATCCGATTGGAAAGATAGAGAAACAGTCGCCCAAACGTTGAGAAGACTGAAACAACAAGGCTTTATCTCACAAAGTCAGTATGCATCACTGAAACCCACTGGACGTTCACATCAAGATTATATGGTTTGCCTAAAGTGTACAAAAATGGTGTACCACTTCCACCAGTATTAGATATGTTAAATTCACCATACCATCCCGTAGCCAAATGTTAATCGAACTCTTACAGCCTCTACATACTGAGTTGGTGAAACACAGTGTGAAGGATACCTTTGGATTTTTGAAAGGAGAATAGCGTTACATGTTGACAATAAGTTCATGCTATCATTTGACATGTCTTCCCTATTCACCGATGTACCACTTATAAGAAAAACTCATAAGACGAAAGATCGATGTTGGCATTTTTATATCTTTTATGAAAGAGTTCTCTTGAAATGTACAATGAATGTTCACTTTTTATTTAGTAAGGAACTATATAGACAAATCGATGGTGTGGCAATGGGGTCACCACTACGACCCATTCTAGTTGACATAGAAAACCTACATCAACGGGTCAGTATACTCATTTTTTCAGCCTCGTGCACTTCAGATACAAACGCAACCTGATAAAGTGCTTGGTTCACACAACAAGAGCAATCTGCTCGGATGAATATCTTGATGACGAACTTAATAATACTAAACGGTTGCTGAGTGAAAATGGTTATCAGAAAGTTCACTGATAAGAATATGAATCTAAAATCAAAGCAGCCGATGGTACTTACAGTTCCAAAAAAGGCTTTATTCTTACAAATGCAGTTCCTTGGGGACAACATCAGCGAGATACTAACACAGCGTCTTAGAAATGCGGTAAAAAGAGCATTCCCTGCTGCCGAATTACGCTGTGTCTTCAAAACCACTCCTCTTTTGTGTTCAGGAGTAAAAGATAAACAGCCTAATTTCACCTCTTCTATGTGTATCCATCAATTTCACTACTCCTGTGGAGTGAGTCAGTTACTTGCATAGGCTGTACAATTAGGCGTGTCTCTCGCTGGATTTCTGAAAATGATTGAAAACAATGAGGTTTTTGATTATTGGTTTTGTTCTGGTTGGTGGGGTCTCTTCAGTAGTATTTCTCTATATACTCTGTTCAGTGTAAATCTTATCTCTCCTATATGCCTTTCTTATAAAACAGAAGATTTGTGCGGACAATTCGTACCTAATAACTACTTATTCTTTATGTTTTAGTAGTATTGAGGTTAGACGTAAGGGTTTTAGATATTGAAGGGGGAAGTCAATTGATCAGGTTGTGAAGTTACATCGATTAAGGTGGTTGGGACCACGAGCTATGCTTCCCAAACCATCACTTCCCTCGTCGACCAAGGTCAATTGACATTGATATCATACATTTATTCTCCTTAGTAAATTTGAATAACTGATTAGAAATGCCCATTAAAATTTTCAAAAGAATGGATACTGAACAAAGAGTACTCTTTTTGATAACTTCATCACCAGGCTCTACATTTATACATACATTATAGTGAATGAATGAATTAGTGTTATGAACGACATTAATGTTGTTTAAATAACATCGAATCAATTATATTGACAGATTACAGCTGAATCGCATCAACGTAAAATAAGCTGAATGTCAGAGAAATTAAGAAAATATTACAAATTCATGAGTTTGTTTCTACTGAAGGCCAGGGCAATAGTAGGGACTGGACTTGCTTCTTTTGGATACCGAGCGCTGGTTGTTTAAGGCGAATCGCAGTAGCCTCTGCTATTTGGAGCCTGCGGTGCTCCGATGATTTCGGCAATTTATTAGGCACCCGGTTGATTATAGAGAAGGATTCATCTACGCTGGCTTTGTGGCCTGTTTGTCCAGATGTTCCAATATCGAGCTGTTAATAGTTTTCACTACACCTTTACTTAGCCATAGTGGGAGATGTTCTCGAGTACGGAAAATCAAGTTCCTAGAGCAACGGTCAATATAACTGGCTCCACAAGCGCAGTTGAATTGATGGATACAATTAGAAACGACTAGTCTAGGTACCTCATCTTTCAGTCGAGGAATTACCATCGGTCGTGTAGAGAATAATACGTGTAGTTCGCCAGCAGTAAAAGTTCTTTGAACTGATTTTCTTAATTTCTTCGCAATTATCTCGCTTGGTATATCGCCCATGAATTGTAGTCGTATATAAAGAGGCTTCTTTTTTACATATAGTGAGTAGTCCTTTTCCGTTTTCTTTGTCATGTGTTTCTTGATAAATTTTTCGGGATAGCCATTTTCGATCAAAGTACATAGGAACATAGGGCTCCAGCTGCGCATCTCCATTGCCTTCTGTTTTCTGCCAACTTTTTCACCTCACTCCAAGTCTACCCACATGCTTTCATCTCCTCTGCACACGACATCCTCCAAATCACCCTCCCACTGACGACCAACTCGCTGCTTCCCTTTCGGGTTCCACTCGAGTGATGGCTTGTCTAGTGATGTCACTTGATGGTTTATTTCCTCAGAGTATGGCCAGCCAATCCATCTGCATTTCTTCCTGCCTATTTGTTGCACAATCGGTTCTGGTTGGTTCGCTCATTGCCAGAGATCTCTGTTCCTGATCTTTCCTGGCGGGCCATCTGATCTTGAGTATTGAGCAAAGACAACTGTTGATGAAGGTCTGAAGTTTGTTTAATGTGCTCTTTATGACGCGCAGTGCAATTCTCTGATCCGTATAGTAAGTAGCACTGACTGATTTCACATTGGAGTTGAAAATCCGGATGTTATTTTTGATGCTGAGTGCTGTTGACCTCCACACAGATTTAAGAGTAATGAAAGCCTGTCTTGCTTTCCGGATTCTTGCTTTGATATCCTCGTCAGTTCCGCCTGGCTGTAGTTGAAACAATGCTTCTCAGTTGGGGGGGTAAAGGAGGTTGTTTCTTTTAGGTTCTTCCCATTTATGCCGGCTGATTGTTGTCTGTTGTTGTTGTTGTTGTTGCCAGGAATCTTCATCACCTACCTCTGTTTTATCTATGTTCACTTGAAGTCTTATCTTTGATGCTTCCTCTATCGCCAACTTGTTGCTTTTCATTTGCATATCTTCCTGTTTGTGGGAAATCAGACATATGTCATCATCGGCGAAGTCCAGGTCCTCCAATTTTTTGTGTGTCTATTTTACACATGTTTTCTAATTGCTCGTTGTCTGTCACATTATCCAATCTACTGCAATCAGGAAAATCATTGGCGATAGTAGGCAGCCAGCCTTGTCTTACTCTCGTCTTAACTTTGAAAGATTCCGTAAATTTCCCGTTGTGGATTACTTAGCATGCAGCATTGTCGTATAGCTATTGGGTGAGATGTATAATTGTCGATGGCACCCCGTAGTAGCGAAGTAGTTGCCAAATGATCTCTCGGTTGACGCTGTCGAAGGCCTTTTCAAAGTCGATGAAGTTGAAATAGAGAGGTGACTGCCATTCCCAGCTTTGTTCAATGATGATCCGTAGAGTGACGATTTGATGAATACATGATTTGTTTCTCCTGAATCCAGCTTGTTCCGGTTGGAATTTTTCATCTAGGGCTTGTTTGATTCTCTCGAGGATGATGCGGCTTAGTATTTTGGTTGGGATGCACAGGAGCATAATTCCGCGCCAGTATTTGCATTGACTTAAGTCTCCTTTCTTTGGTAGTTTGTATAAGTAGTCTTTCTTCCTGTCCTCTGGTACCTTTCCCTCTTTCCACACCCTCTCCAGCAATGGCGTCATCCAGTTCGCTGTTGTCTCTGGGTCGATTTTCAATGCTTCTGCTGGGATTCCATCTGGTCCTGCTGCTTTTCCAGTTTATAGCATCTTGATTGCATTCAGGACTTCTGATTTCGTCATAATGATCATACACAATGGTAACTTTCGGCTTTACGTAATCAGACGTTAGAGTAGATGAAAACATCCAGTTACTAGGGCAAAGAAGGATTGCTAATCGCTTCTTTCAGATATCATAAATCATATTTTAGGCGCTTGATGGAGATGACTTCGGCAAAATTAAGGAGAATTGAACTCTTTTGTCTATTAATTATTTTGAACGAACTTACGACATCCACCTCATGTATGGCGATGGCAATGTTTTCACAGCATTTTGTTCCCTTTAGGCATAGGCTTTTTGGTAGATGTTCACGATAGTAAAACGGAAACCTGGGATCAGTGTATATCATCTTTGACAATTGGTTTGATCCAGCCGATTAGGCAAAGTATCTATGAACTGCCAGATTGAGGTTCTCAGAATGCTAAGAATCTCAATTACTAGAGATTTAATGGTGAGATATAGCTGAAAACCATTTTGAATGGCGCAGATGCATTCAGTCTTTCTAATCTTTCGATCTGTTGAGTTCTCACATTTCTCTATGTAATTATATTCTTCCTCCAGTACATTTCTGTTCATCATAGTCGTTTCTAAAGTTTTCCGTTATGTCTAAATTTGTATTTCAAGGAAGGATTTAGGCAACTTTAACTGTTTCACTTCTGTGCACAAATTTCTACGTTGTAAAGTCAAAGCAATCAGCCTTTTCAGGCTTTACAGTTATAAATTCATAAAAAAATTATCATGCTTAATCGTTCATGCTTATCGTGCTTAGAAGTTTATAGAAGCCCCTAGGCGGTAATTAGAACGTTTAAACCATCTTTAATGCATTCAAAGCAACAATTCGTCATATCACACTAAATCACCTTCCATGGTAAACTTTGTTCTGATACTAGGGTGGATATATATTACGTCTCTCTCTTTTTGCTTCAGTGATCTTCATTTTTATTTTGACCTTCATTATTTCATTTTAACTTGAGCGAAGTGTATTTTCTCACCTTTTAGCTCCTTACTTTCACATATATATATATATATATATATATTCCTATGAAAAATGTGTGTGTGATCAGGTTGTTCGGATTGTATTGTGCAAATACGTTACACGATTCATAAAGGGAACTGATCGTTTCAAAATGATAGCAATTGGTTAGAGGAAGCCTTGGACTTGGGTTTCATGTTTATTGGATTTCTTCAGCTTGATGTGTGTGTGTGTGTGTGTCTACAAACAAGCTGTAAAGAAGTGCAGTCCCTTTTTAGAGGTTCAAATCCGAAGTCACCCAGTGATGCGGTTAATAATGACGTCAACGCTGACTGAACTGTTGGGACTTATGATTCACTTCTACCAAGACTGCATATATGCCTGTCATTTATTATTTTAACAACTGCGTAATCAGTTCATTTATTTTTTTGTTTTGTCTTGACTTATGAAATGCATTTAGTTACTTATTTGATGTGAATACCTATCAAACAGGCATATTGAAGTTAGTTGGCGAGTGCTAGGTGAGGAGGAGGGGAAATCAATCGACGAGGCTGTGAAGTTACACCGATTGAGATGGTTAGGACATGTGTTATGTATGCCTAGTAATCGCCTTCCTCGACTGACAGGCAATATTAGCTGACATAGAGTCAGGCTGGAAAAGAGCTAGCGGAGGTCAAACAAAAACATGGCTTCATCAGTCAATGAAATCCACAACAGTTAGTTTAAGCCACGTGGGAAGGTGTAGACTTCTTGACTGGTTGGGGTCTTCAGGATAGTAAAAACCAATGAGGGTTGGAAACAATTGGTGATATGGCTGGCTGAAAGTGATCGTTCTCAATGGCTGGCTGACGCAGATGCATCCACTCCTTGTGACTTATGATTTCCAATGAAACTGTTTTGTTCTTCGTTATTACTATTCCTTTGTCTCACACCTCTGTTTACTGTCTCTCTCTATTATGCATTTCTTCTACTTTCTTCTGTTGGTTTGTGTGCTACATGGAGGGAGTGTGGCGACTTGAACAGCCGCACATATGTGCAAAGTTCTATGTCGAAAACAGACAGACAGACAGAAACAGGCATAGATATAATGACACCCAAATCAAATTCTAACTGGTTAGATTAAAATTCATATAGGGAACTAATTGTTTTATAAAGTATTGGTAAATGGGTTCTCAATGGTGTTGACAATCAGTTCAGTATGAGATTTCACTAACTTAGCTTGTTTATTATTATTATTTTTTTCTCTCTCCTTTTGTAGACTGTTGGATTTGTTGATATGACCTCTATGAATCAGGGTACTCCATCACCACCTCCTTCGTCTTCTTCTTCCTCTTCTCCTTTGAATAAATCTACCTCATACAATTCAAGCAGCTTAAGAACAACAACAACAACACACATCACCAAAACCAACTGGTTTTGAGAATTTATTTCAGAATCTAGATAGTTCAGCTTATGAAGAAAATATTGAACGTGATTCTCTACTACAAGAAGTTGAAGCTCGTGATCTTATTGATTATGGTATTATACCAGAATTTGTTGGTCGTTTTCCAATTATTACTGTATTACATTCATTGGATGAAGAAATGCTTGTACGTATCCTAACAGAACCACGTAATGCTCTGTTAAAACAATATCAATTACTATTTAGTATTGATGGTGTAAGTTTATTTTTATGGTATTAGTTATTATTATTATTTTTTCATTTGCAAATATGTTTTTAATTTATGTATTTTTTTCATCGCCTCTTCCCCCAGACAGTTGGTCACATACGACCTGATTAAAATGGTGTTTAGAGTCGCTGACGAATTGCTGCAAGATGACAAGTCAATCGGGATGTAAAATTATTGGGATCGACTTTGTCTAACTATTGTTCTCCAGAGCAAAGGGTCACTATAGCTGACCGACTTACTGGTCATTCAAGGGGAGCATCTTTATTGATTAGCAGTATGAATTTGCTCTCAGACACCATTGACCACCGCTCAGCATAGTGGAAACGTCTTATTGTTAACTGCTTTTAGTCTAATCTGTATACAATCAACTTTCCTGGCATGTTATAACCAAACCTTCGGCAACAACCACTATAGCTCGTTGGATCATTGGATTATAGAATCCTGGCTGTCTCGTCAAAGTACCAGCTATCCTCTGGGGTTAGGATGATGATGGTTGCACTAATTGAGTGGTTAGGGTTTCCTTTTGTCTATATGTTGATATAAACTACTATAGTTATTGATATCTCTGTATAATTGATCAATGCCTCAAGTTTGATCACTGATTTATATAAGTTATAGAACCACTGATGACCAGCAGGGAGTGCTAGACAACTGTTTCTCCCTAGTTTGGGACTGCTCAGCATTACGCATCCATGATCACACCGTCAAGGTGTGTGTGTGTGTGGGGGGTTAGAACCCCCAGAACCTCTGGGTTACGAGGTCAAACTCGTTGATCATTCAAGTACTTGGGTGGGAATTTAATGATCCGTGATTTCCAACTTCTGATATTTATTTATTTATTGTTTCAATTTTAATATGTCTAGTGTGAACTGAAAGTTACTCCAGATGCTTTGAAAGCTATTGCTGGATTAGCCTTACGTCAACGAACAGGAGCTAGAGGTCTTCGTTCTATCATGGTAATTTAATTGTGTTCATGTTTTTTATTGTTAATCAGTAATATTTCTTTTTTTAAATTGTTATTTGTTCAACCATACAATCCTACTCTTCTATAGTTGTGATCTATTGTAGCTATATTCCCTTCTTATACTGGCTATCTAATTTAGATTGTGGGTTTTTATAGGGATTTGAGTCGTTTTTAGTTGTTAGATTTTTGTCATGAATTAACATCAGTTAGAGAGAGAGAGAGGTCATTGAAAACCAGTAGAAGACACTGAAAAGGTGTTTCGTCCTCGTTTACGACTCTGCAACAGTTCACTCCCACGATCTCACAGGAAGGGATGGATTGAACCTGCTGGAACCTTTGACTTACAAGATCTCAAGCTCGTTGAGCATTCGTTCAGTTGGTTTGCTGGAATTCAATGACCTGTGAATTCCAACTTTTTCTACTATGTACCGTGTTTTTCAAGAATCCCTGACTGTTGTTGCTCTTCTTGATGAAATTTATATTAAGACTTTCTAGTTGATTAAACCAATTGAAGAGTTTCTTCATCTCACATATAAATGAGTCGCTTTGTGGATTAACTGATGTCCTAAAATATATATTTAAAGAAGATCAATGGGTCAGTTATGCACAATATTGTCAGTAGGTTGAAAAAGCGGTACACGCATGCACACACAACAACACTTGATTACTGTACATCACATCATAGGTTTGTGCGTCAGTGGCACAGCGGTAGAATGCTCGCCAACCGCGCCTCATGGAGTCAAGGTTTCGATCCTTAGTCGACTCAATCCTTTACTTTGCTAAGGGAAGGTTTGGCATGAGGCGGCTAGCAACCTCATCCTACCGAAACTTCAAGTCTCTAGCTTGAAGCAGCCCTATGTTCCTAGGGGAACGTAGACGGATGAGAAAAAAACAACACATAATGAGTTACAGTTTTGGTTCTCTTGGTATCATGCATATATGTGTGCAATTCATCAATTCAACTATAACAGTTCCTGTTAAATTTCCTATTAAAAACTGATGATCTGAAAGGATATGAGCAACAAGAGAACTATGACAACTAACCAAACAAGAAATCTATCTCCCAACTAGTATGTGGAAGAAAATGAAGATGAATTTAACATAGACTGAGGAGACTAATTCCATTGTAGATAAAATTTATTATCATGAGGTCTCACAGTGGTGTTATACAGTAATATGTTTCGAGCACAATTTATCGCTGCTCATAATCATATCAAGGAACCCACAGAACTTTCCAACTTCGTTTATATAATTCCACTATTTCTCATTTCTTGATTCGATTTGTAGTAACATTTTCTATATTTCTGGTATTAGTGATGAGTTATTTCTATTGCACCTGTTGGGTGTAGACTCGATGATCAAGGATTCAGTAATCAACCTCTCTCTCTCTCTCTGTCTCTCCATCTACGTATATTACTTTTTAGAATTTTAATTTTGTCTCACCCTACCTTGTGACTGTGTGTTAATGCATGCAGTGGAATTGCTGAGTATTTATTTTTCTAAATTACTCATCTCTGTGAGGTCAGTCATACTAACCTTAGTTAAATTCTTCTTATGTTCTGATAATCTCACTGCTGCCTGATCTAATAGTTTCACTGACCTATGTGGTTGACCTCAGTCACAGTCATTGCAAGGTGATATCTTGTAAATTATATTATATTTTGTGTAATTGGGTCAACAGGTTCCTTTAAAGGACCCTTTGCTAATAGAATCTACACCCAACACGTGCAATACAAATAACTCATCACTAATACAAGAAATATGGAAAATATTACGACCAATCAGATCAAGAAATGAGAAGTAGAGGGAATCATATAAACCTTCGATTCCTGGTCGGCACACTCCTAAACCTCGCTTAGCAGCAGGTAAGTAGTGAAACTCGTAAAAAGAGAAGGCCAGACATGAGGCGATCAACTCCAACTCCGTTAAAGAGACACTACTACTACTACTACTACTACTGCAACTACAAACTAAAGGCATAAAACCTCCTATCTCCCACTTAGAACTCAAAGGAATGGAAGACTGACTGGTTTCAACATAGAACTTTCTCTGTCTGTCTGTTTTCGACACAGAACTTTGCACATATGTGCGGCTGTTCAAGTCGCCACACTACCTCCATGTAGCACACAAAGCAACAGAAGAAAGTAGAAGAAAAGCATAATAGAGAGAGAGACAGTAAACAGAGGTGTGAGACAAAGGAATAGTAATAACGAAGAACAATATGGTTTCATTGGAAATCATAAGTCACAAGAAGTGGATGCATCTGCGCTAGCCAGCCATTGAGAACGATCACTTTGAGCCAGCCATATCACCAATTGTTTCCAGCCTTCATTGGTTTTTACTGTCCCGAAGACCCCAACCAGTCAAGAAGTCTACACCTTCCTAGGTGGCTGGCTGGCTTAACATAACTGTTGTGGATTTCATTGACTGGTGAAGCCATGTTTTGGTTTGACCACCACTAGCTAACTGTTTTCCAACCTGATCCATCCCATGTCTGCAGCTAACATTGCCCATCGTTTGAGGAAGCTGATCGGCGGCTAGCCTAGGCATCTGTAACACATATCCTAACAATGTCTCTCATCCCGTGTAACTTCACAACATCAAGAGATTGATTTCCCCTACTCCTTCCTTGCCTAACACTCACTGGACACCTAACCTCAATAGTGATCACCCTATTTTACCACCAGTTAACACGAGAGGTAGAAAGCAGTCGCCTATGAAGAAAGACATCTAACTGGCCTTTGCATGTCTCCACTTTCAATGGCCATGCCCCACTCGCAATCATAAATGAAGACAGAGTGAACTTCTGCGGGCAACCGGATATCAAGCCTACTAAGCCAGAGATAGCATAAGTTGGTAGGTATATGCCAAATCAGCCTCCTGTATCCGTGCTGAGATTTTGTCAGCGAGTTAATGTAGTCCAATCCTGTAGCATTTGTCAGGCGCGGAGCATGCTAAACACTCGAAGAATGCTGCTCAGCTCAAGGTGTTCAGAAGACTCTGCTCTATTTTGTCAGCGTTTTCACCTAGGATATGAAGGACTATATCATATGCATATTATAGCAATGAAAGAAAAATCTTTCTTTTATGAAATATTGGTGTAATAGTACATTTTATTCTGTTGAATTATTTTCACTATTGATATGCATATACATATATACATACACAGTCCATAGGAGAGTTAAAGTGCGTCAATATCCTTATTTGATGTCATGTGAATCGTGTCAGCACATACTAACTAACTAACCCAACTAACTAAGGAGAAGAGTATGAAAATCAGATGTTGTTATCGAATCAAATATTCAGAATTTTAATTAATATTGATGAAATTTGATCTAGTTATAGATATTCATAGATCATGTGACCTATATATACACATAGTATATTTTCAAATGCTAACACAGTCAGGTTGAATGTCTCTTTAAAATCTAATTGTTGTAAGAATTACAAAATTATACCATGCGATTAGCTTTTTGTTAATGAGGAGAGTTCAACAACAGTAGAGAATTCTTTGAAGTAGTTACATAGGAGGTCTAGGTTTGATTCCCAGCTGATGCAGTACTAATCTGAAGTAGTAGTGTAACAACAGAAAACAAGGGTCAGGCAACAGATCGTTTATTTCAAGAAATCAACACATTTATAGATTTTCATGTACATTATTATAGATTATTGTTAGCAGAAAAACACAGTCTTCTGATTGGTTGTTTCTCACAGAAAGTTAACCTTGCATCTCTTTTTGGCTGTTTCTTGAATGTCAGATCATCTATATGTTAACTGTATCCGCCTACGCAAGGCCTTTGTTCTCATTTTTCTTACGACCAATATTGGGGACATAAACATTGACGTAAATTACTGTCCACCAATTTAGACTAACAACCAGCTCTCCCCACAGTAGTAGTAATAGTAGTCCCGTAAAAAGGGAAGGTTTACACTCTCACCCTTCAAAAAGAACAACAGCATTGTCCACCAAAACTGCAAAGCTTTAAAGTCCTGTGTTCGACTCAGTAAGCAATGGGATGAAACAAAAAAAATTGTCGTCGAGTTAAAGAATTCAATCGTTTCAGTTTGATCATTTGAATGATGATTCAGTTTAATCGTTGCATCATGACTTCATCAGTCTATCTTGATAATTTAACTTCACGACGGTTCATTTAGTTTGAATTGAATGTGAGTTATGAAGCCATTTACTAAATTTAGTGTAGTATTTAGATTATCGATTTTGTGAGGATTTCGGATTAATTTTGCTTGTTAGATTTTCTTGACGAATCAATCAACATCAGTTAAAGATAGAATCATCGGGAGCTCTGAACAGCTGTTTCGTCGTTGTGTAAGACACTTCATCAGTGCTCATCTACAATCCCACAAACCAACGATTGTCCCAGGGACCTTGAGGGTACGAGATTGAACTTGTTGACTATTCTACCAGTTGGACTGGAATTGAGTAACCTGTGAATTCTAACCTTGTCAACTTGTGATATAGCTCTGTCCTCACCACTGCCTTCGATGAAACATGCTCTCCTATAAATCCTCAGTGTCTCTCTTCTATTTCTGTCAGAAAACACCTATTTGCAAATGTACGTGAACTTATACTGATATGATTAAAACTATATGAAATTGAGGTAAATACGATGGATTTAGGTGGATAGAACTTTTAATTAGGCCAGTGATTTTAAGCAGGTTTATTAAATTGCCTAATTTAGATTCGTATCTATTGGTTAGCAAGTTGGATAGTTATATTGGTGATTGTTCAGCATTCTTTAAACGTTGAACTTTTATATTCCATCATAAAGTTCGTCCTTAGGCTGGATGGTTGGAGGCAATCAACAGAAAGCATTGAATCTAGGTTTCGTGCTAGTTGGCATTTGTCAGCAACTTGTGTCCACAATCTTGAAGAAACTCATGTCGTTTATGAGACTGGAACCCGTGTCACTTAGTGTTGCAATCGGAGAGGTTGTTACTGAATTATTCCGACTCGTGATTGTGTCATGCGTC